TTTTGCTATATAGTTCACCGCAGGGAACTAAAAAAACTTCCGAACGACTTCCGAACGACGGTCCTAGTCCGTCGTCTTAGACTCGTTTTTCCGAAACTACGCACCTGATTTATTATTCAAAACCACTTTGATCACTTAAAACAAAAGATCATTGTTCGATGTTTAACACCTCGAAATGGACACCGAACAATAGGGGATTCTTTGATACGATCGTAGGTAGGCCTTGCATGCTGTGATGATGGCTTAGGGACATGAAATTTCGGTATTGATTCTTTGAAGTCATGGGCGGCGTTGATCTCCCGACGACACTCGTAGATCTCCCGACGAGCTCTTTCGTAGGTATCTTCCCGCGCTTTGACTTTGTGAAGCTCCATATCCAACATTAGCTGTTATTCTTTTTGCTGTGGTAGGCGTAGCTTTTCTTCCGCGAGTTCGCATTTCTTGCTCAACAAAGCAACTTGRAGCGCTGCTCGTTTAGCKRCATGCATTGCTCTGTTCGATGGGACCTTCGTACCTTCCATGACGAATAGGATACAGCACAGCTCACAGAGTCTTCGGGATTCACTAAGCYTTTCTTCCAAACKGTGATTCTTCGTTTAGCTGGGTCAACAAGATAACAAGGTATTTCGTCGTGAACGTCTTTAAACTTCTGAAAGGCATCGTCGAGACGCTCCTCTAGGGTGTTTACTCGTTGTGCAGAATCATCGTTAACTTTGGAGTCTAGCAGTACATCCAATTGGTTTGCTATTCTTGTTAAAACTCCTTTACGTGATCTACGCACATTTAACAACGTCCTCGGTAATCCTGGCTGCAAACTCATGTGTATTGAACGAATGTGGCGTCTACTAAAATGATCAAAAACCAGTCATGTACGAACAAGAATGATTTACTAACGTCAAGTTCCTAGCGAAAATAAATACAAAAGCTTCAACAAAACTACTTACAAGAATATTTACGAACGAATACCGATACTTACAATACATTTAGGCCTACACGGGGAACATCGATCCTCGAAAAATTTTACACCGCACTCAGGSAGACACAGACGCTCACTGAACAAATCTATTATAGATGAATCAAAACACTAAACTATGAATAAATTGCTACGAAAATTGGTACAACGGAAATTCACTGCATGGGGAMACGTAAAACAAAAACTGCAAATTGAAAAACCACTGAGATATGGCGAAAACGGTATAAACAGAGAACAATACATAAAGTTCCGGATGGTCGTAACAGTTATACGTCTTACGCCG